TGCAAATTCGAGATGAAGTTTTTGCTTCGGTTGGCAGAATTAGCCGAGGCTAGTTCGGTGAAATAAAAGCTTGATTAAAATTTGATGCAAAAATTTTATTGGCTTCAATTGAAAGATACTTAATCGGGATTAAGAAAAACTCTTTCATTCTGTACATTTATTCAATCAACTTCTGTTTCTGCTAGCGTTGGCATGTCGGGTAAAACGTTCAGTAACACCACTAGTGATGGGTTCATTCAAATGAAATATTTTTGATGAATTTACTGATTTTAGATCAACTAACTGATTTTAGATGACACAATCTGATTTAAGACGAACCAACTGATTTGAGATGAAACAACTGATTTTAGATGAACTAACTGATTTTAAACGAGCTAACTAATTTTTGATGAACTAACTGATTTTAGATGAACTAAACTGATTTTAGATGAATTAAACTGATCTTAGATGAATTAAACTGATTTTAGATGAATTAAACTGATTTTAGATGAACTAACTGATCTTACATGAACCAACTGATGTTAGATGAACTGACTGATTTTACATGAACTAACTGATTTAGGACGAACCAACTGATTTGAGATGAAACAACTGATTTTAGATGCACTAACTGATTTTAAACGAGCTAACTAATTTTTGATGAACTAACTGATTTTAGATGAACTGACTGATTTTACATGAACTAACTGATTGAAGACGAACCAACTGATTTGAGATGAAACAACTGATTTTAGATGAACTAACTGATTTTAAACGAGCTAACTAATTTTTGATGAACTAACTGATTTTAGATGAACTAAACTGATTTTAGATGAATTAAACTGATCTTAGATGAATTAAACTAATTTTAGATGAATTAAACTGATTTTAGATGAATTAAACTGATTTTAGATGAACTAACAGATCTTACATGAACCAACTGATGTTAGATGAACTGACTGATTTTTCATAAACTAACTGATTTAAGACGAACCAACTGATTTGAGATGAAACAACTGATTTTAGATGAACTAACTGATTTTAAACGAGCTAACTAATTTTTGATAAACTAACTGATTTTAGATGAACTAAACTGTTTTTAGATGAATTAAACTGTTTTTAGATGAATTAAACTGATCTTAGATGAATTAAACTGATTTTAGATGAATTAAACTGATTTTAGATGAGCTAACTGATCTTACATGAACCAACTGATGTTAGATGAACTGACTGATTTTACATGAACTAACTGATTTAAGACGAACCAACTGATTTGAGATGAAACAACTGATTTTAGATGAACTAACTGATTTTAAACGAGCTAACTAATTTTTGATGAACTAACTGATTTTAGATGAACTAAACTGATTTTAGATGAATTAAACTGATCTTAGATGAATTAAACTGATTTTAGATGAACTAACTGATCTTACATGAACCAACTGATGTTAGATGAACTGACTGATTTTACATGAACTAACTGATTTTAGTTGAACTAACTGATTTTAGTTGAACTAACTGATTTTAGAAGAAATAAATGATTTTAGATGAACTGACTAATCGCTGGCAAAAAATTACAGGTTACTGCTCAATGGAAACTTGGGGAAAGCATTATCTGTTGGGCGAATTACCGGTATCAGGAATCTCAAGAGAAGAAATTCAATTAAATTTGATGCATCATTTTAAATTTTTCAGATTATTTGACGAACTTTGTTTTTCGAGTTTGAAGCTGAAAGAAAATAGTTATCGCAACTAAATATGAAGACAGTTTTCTCAAGCGATGACACAAGTGAAATTCTTGGTAACGCAACTTGCATACGTTCAAGTGATTCAGAGAAGAATGTTCCTCGTTCTCATGATGGAATAGATAGAATTACGTAATCCGCATCAGAAACGCGAGTGGTGAATTTTGCTTCAGTTGGTAGAAATAGCTGACGCAACTTCGGCAAAATAGAAGCTAATTGAGATAAGAAAACAATTCCAATTAGGTTTGATCAAAATAAGCCAAACGCTGTTTCTCTAATTTGAAATAAAACGAAACAAACGTTGTTGTAGTTGCTTCGTCGAGGGGTAGCGCTTATAGTTTCGTCGGTGATATGTTACAATAGGTGGTAATTTTTAGTGGAGCGAAGTATTAAATTTAAGAACTATAAAGCATAATACAGTCATTCCATTTTCAATCAATTGAACATGCTACTAAGATAGTTTTTGTAAATATAATACTCTGTCAGATAAAATTTATCCAAAAACTCAAAATTTCCATTTCTTTTGCCAAAAATTTGGCGTTTGAAATTAATTTTAAATAATGTGCAAAGTATAACAAAAAGCAATCAAGCTATTTAACTTAAAATTACCACCTATTGTAATATATCACCGTTTCGTCAATTCGGTCAGATTTCGTTACACATGGGCTTCGTTTTCGATTAGAATGGTTTGCACAATATTTCAGTACTTCTTCAGAGAAGGTTGAATTCTTGGCTTGGGTTATTTTCAGTACTTCCAGTAAAGGATGTAATTTGCGTCGTCTCGTCCAAGTCTCATACTGCGGCCCCCGCCGGAGTGCCTCTGAGTAGAAGGGGGCACCGGATTCCAGTATCTGAGACAGCAGTGAATCTGGTTGCGGTGCCCGTTTCGGTGAATCACCAAGCCGTCAAACGAGGAAAAGATCGCAAAGCTATGGTGGTGATGTCTAACTTCGTTTATACTGTATCTGCGGAACACCAGACAGAGGAACGGTTTTGGTTTAATGACCGAAGCTGTGAGCCAGTGTTGAGCTCGACTGATGTGCTTGAAGGCTGATCCAGCCCGAGAAAAGCCTCGACAGGATTGGACTAGAGTGAAACAGCAGTGAGTTTAGAAGGGTTTTGAGAAATTTAAAGGGATGGCTGGTATCGTGTGGGGGTGTTGAAACACTTTGGGCATTCGTTGAGGACACTTGGGTCAAGTCTGTTTAGGTAGGAAAAAAATGTAAGGGGGGGGGGGTGGAGTAGCTGCATCGTAGCTGAGCTTGGCCGGAACGGGCCTTGCAACTCGGTTAGAGTTCAGCTGAGGAGATAAGGGGGTTTTTGGCGAGTTTTTAGGAATGGGAACGGTTTTAATGTAGTTGAAAACCGCTTATGTGTGGAGTACTTTGTGTATGTGGAGTTAAGGTTCCTCGTCGATGTACTTAGTAGGGTCAATCAAGCCAGTCAGGAGACCCGCATAGTTGCTAAATGAAGAAGTCATATATGGTTCTTCTGCAAGATGTTATGACCACTATTTATTAAAGAAACTTTATTTCTATTTTTGCAGTGTTCTTGGTTCTTGAAAATAAAACAGAAAATAAGCATCGACACAGAGGCAAGCTGCGCTTTGCAAACAGTAGCGAGAACACGACAAAAAGCAGCTCCATCAACTGCAAAAAGAAAAAGCATACACACAGAGGCGAAGCGGAGCTTCGCACCACCAGCGATACAATACAATCATGAAAGCATGTCTAAAAAAGCACGAAAAAGGTTTTTAAAAAAATAGAAACAAAATTTTCGTATGAGTCGATGATGGTCACCTAAAGCCCAGTTAAAGCTGGGGGTAGGTCTTCGACATTTTTTGAATTTGCTAAACTGATGCTGGACATGCTTAGTTTCAAAATTTGGACTTGGCCCAAAACTTTAGTTGTTTCTCTGGAGTGACCGCTTTTGCAACAAAAAAAATTGAGCAACTGCTTCTTTTGATTGAACTTTTTCTTAGACTTTGATAGTGTAGTTTTAAGAAAACTCAAAAAGTTTCAAAAACACAGTCAAAGTTCAAAAACTTGATTTTGAAAACCGTAACTTTTTTCAGCAAACAGCAGGTCTTGGTCATTAGTAGAGAAGCTTCCTAAAATCGGGTTGCGCGATTGAACACATTGAACACTTGAATTGAGAATTGGCACGGTAATTTTCGAGTAGTCAAAAACTTCCAAAAAGCGGACTTCCAAAGTTTTCACCAGTTAAAGAACATACTTTATTTCTAAAAAAAACTGGGCGTAGTAAATTATATACGTAAGCTTTCAACAAGCTGTTCTGTCGATTAAACCTATGATATCAGATTTGGCAGGACAGTTATCGAGAAAAGTCCAAAAACCGGTCAACAAATCAAAAATTTGACATTTCCGAGAATCATAGCTTTTGATTTTAAAAAAAGGCGTAGCCGATCATGCAGAAGAGATTCATCCAACATAAAATTTCGATTGAATCAACCCAGGTTTGACAGGGTAGTTCTCGAGAAACGGTCAAAAAAATCAAAGTTTTCCGAGGACCATAAGTTTTTATTTGCGAGTTAGGCTCGCAAGCTCCCCCCCCCCCCCCCCCCCACAGATTTTATTTGCGAGTTAGGCTCGCAAGCTCGCTAGTGTAAAAATGGTGCAATGAAAACAACACAAGTAAGCTTTACTTTCCACTACATATTTTTATTTGAACTAAAAACCAAAACAAACACTCGGCCAATTATAAAACCTCAAAATACCCTCATATAACTAATTAAAATGATGAGACAAAAATTACCGAATATACCATGAAGCACTAACCTATCCAAATTGGCATATCAAGAAGATTTGTGGAAAATTATGAAATCAATCCAATTACATATTCCCAACTTTTACGCAATTTATACAAAGGTTATAATAAACTTATTAGAACCATAGTAGAAAAAAGAAACGCCTGTTCATACAAAAAAGTAAAATGAAAATATTCAACTTCTATAAAAGTATTTTGCGAAATTACCATCTAACTATTTCCGAAATGAAGCTAAGAAATAAAATAAATCGAAAACCAAATCATCTTAATTTTCCTAAAATCAAATTTAAAACAATTCTCGCTTTTATTGAAGTCATAAATCGATTACTGGACACTTAGTTCTATTTTTCGTCTGATTGTTCAGCAGTGCAAAAAATTAAAGAAACTACTCGAGTGTGAAATACACATTTTGAGACTTCCTCTCGAAAAAGTATCGCTTGAACATATAACTTGAGCTTTCACTAGATTTCTATGAAAATGTTTCACTAGAATTTTGAATTCGTATATTCGATTTGACTCTAAAGGAAAGAAGTAACAAATCACGCAACATAAATCATCTATTTATATTTATATTTGAAGAGTAATTAAAATGAAAATACAGCATTATAAGCAACCAAGACATGATAAAATATGAATACTGTTTATTAAGGCGGCTGCTTTGGCAGACCGATCTCATTGATAAAGTCTGATATTCAACCAAAAAAAAACAGCAGAACAAGGAAAAGACAAGGCCGTTTAATGAGGAGAAAGAGTAAAACGACAGTGAATTGAACGTAAAGCATCACACGAGGAATCATCAAGGAATATGATAGGTGCTGATTAAATTTTTCCGATTTCGTGGCCAAACAATTTTCAGATTTGTCACATAATGAAAGGCGATAATTTTTCCATTCCCCTCTATCTTCGTAAGATTTCTTCAATCGCGGCTATCGTATCGTCTAAAAAAATCAAATGTTTTCATACATTCGATCAGGGTTATTGATAATTTTTGTAGTTAAAATAAGGGATCATTTTAACCATTCCCCCCCCCCCCCCCTATTGCAATAGGGGGAGATTCGTTACAGGTACCATGGGGGGATTGATATCAAGATCCAAAATAAGAATTAAAATTGCGATCTATTGAGCGGTGAGCATCCAAATTGAACATAATTAGATCGCAATGAAGAGCCAACGAACAGAAATTGATACCTTTCAGTAGTAATACGATGGCGCTGCTCTCGCGAAGTTTCTGTAAGTGTTACAAGACAAATATTCGTAATCGTACCGTAGCATTTCACAAACGCATGAAAGTAAAAATTGCCAAATCTTTTGTGACAAATTGCTGCTTTCTTTATATTCACAGCTCCAGAACAATTAGAAAATCAAAATAATTACTGGTTTTTGTGATTATTACAAAACACACACTTGCCTGTGATTAGAACGACTTCTTGATCTATATCTTTCGCGATAGCTGCTCGGCGGAGAGCGCCGTCCCCTAAAAACATAAATTGTCTTCTCATATATTTACGCAACATAAAAAAGTTTGGATCAGGTCACGCTACACCTCTACAAAGAACAAATAGTGCAACCATGAACTCACATGCAAGCTAAAAATATTTTCGTGCACACTTTAATCGACTTACGAGATTTAGTAAGAACTATGGAGCAGACAATTTTCGGCTTCATCAATCCTACCCAATAACAACCCCAAAAATCGGTGCTCCATCTACCAGATAACGTTTGAGACAGACCAACAATAAAGTTCAACCCAAATGCAATTGAAACAATTTGGACGGTAATGACTTCTGAATTATTGATGGTACCATTTCGATGAACATTTTAACACGGTAAACGGCAACATGGTAAGCGCTCGGACGAATCCAGATTCAATTAAAGCGAAACGAAGGGCATTTCCAAAATTTTGCTAAGTGCTGTAATCCCAATAAACTTCCATTCCTACATATCATGAAGATTTGACGTAATAGCTCTGACGTAAATTTCAACAGCGCACCGCCAAATCAGATCCGACTGCCCCATAATTAAACTCAACCAAATTTTCAATAGGATCAGGTCGCGCCACCTGAAAACGTACATTAATGAAAGAACGTGTTCATGGCAAATCAGGAAGAGCGGGAAATGTACACAGAGAATATTTATGTTTCCCATATCGGGGAAATTTGATATCACTTTGCTTGAAAATCAATTCTTGTACACATTCGACGAATGATCAGTCTTTTTGATTCATTTGAGCCTTACTAATTTAAACTAATCTCTTATATTTTACAGAGTTGACTTTTACAATTGAGTAGGCATTCGCAATTGAATAAGATTCTAACGGATGGCAGTCACGTGAGAAGTGTCCCATTTTGCCACAAGCATAGCACCTCGGAGGCCCAGTCATATTCCTCCGTGTTCCTTTTGTCCTCGGCTTTGCAATTGACACTCGGATTCTTACTCCATCCAGAAACCTAAAAATTCTCGTCGTTGTTTTAACTTATACACGCCATTGAGATCTGTCAAAATCATTAGAAAAAAAAGCATCTACTTGACTTGATTTGACTTTAAACTGAATTGATCATTCAACCCATATTTTTTAAGCGAACTATTTCAACGTGAAAATTGATCTCGGTCAGAAACGGAAAAAATTTATGTAGCCAGACGAGATCTTCAGAAAAATCTCTTTTGAATTCAATGCCAAAGTTACAGAGCATAAAATTACTGACTAGCTGAAAATGAAATCTGCATTGAAAAATCTAGTAATTGCTTACAATAAAGTTTTACAAAAGTGATGAACTTAAATCCCTGCCCATGCACAGCAAAAACGCTGCTGATATCCGAGTCAACTCGAGTTATACCTTGGCACTATCAACGCAAAAAACGACGAAGTAATAGATTTAGTAAAATTTAAACTCAAAATGACCCTTTAAGAAATTCAAAAATTCGTCTAAAGAAGAGAGAGCCAGATCAGTCGAAGAAGAGTCAGCTAGATCTTGATGTTGTTCTCGAGGAAAGCCGTCAAAAGCTAGCCGAACCAACAATCGAAGCAGCTGAATATCTGGAGGACGCTTCTGAAGTTAGTGGGCTTCATCGCAGCAGGTTCAAATTGGCGATGGTAGTTCAAGACAACTGAACGGAAGAAGCCTAGGAGTTGGGTGAAACTCGGTTGCCACCTCAAGAAAGGGCTTAGCTCATGATGAGGGTTCAAGATTTCACTTAGGTGCCTTCTTCAGAGTACATGATCTTTTCAATTATCGAACCGCCGTTCCCAGGAAACCTGATAAGGGCGCAAAATGTTCGTCCGAAGGTGAACCTGTTTGAAACCTAATGCGTCCCATCTTATGGTGTAAACGCTCAACTTCCCGCAAACCTCAGTGTTTGTTTAACCAGTGCTAAATGTTCCGCTTCAGCACGCACAGTAGTCCCAATCAGACTAATCTCTCCACAAGCCGTAAGCCGATTAATCAGCAGTCGCCGTTCCCTGTCAGCTCGGTTTTTGAAAATTTGAAATTTGCTTTTCTGCCAATTTTAGGCCTCAACGTTGCTCTGAACTATCCCTCAACAGTCGCATTTCCTCCCTCCACTCAAAATGGCATGTAACCATTGATATTTGAACCGTTCTCCATTGCAGGAAAAACAATTTACACTCCTCAATTGACGGTAATCCTTAACAAAGGCCTGAATGATTTGGACAATTCAAAAGCGCAGTTGAATCAAAGTCCAAGACTGATGTCAAATTGACATGTCTCAACACTCGTCTCAGGCAAAACGAAGAGAGCAACTGCCGAAATTGCATACAGAGGAACATTGCTCAAAGACGCTTTGAAAAACCCGGAGTTGAAAATCAGACAACCACAAACAATTGTGGGTGCTAGTCTAGAAAAGCTTCTAAATTTTCCGCTCAAACAAAACAAAAGCATCATCAATTTTGTTTCATGTATATCCAGTCTTGAAGCCGTTTTCAAATCGATAGCTTATGATAGCCGGCTTCAATTTCGAAATTGCATTTACACATTAAAGAATACTCTATCGACTCTGTAGAGAGATGCTGGAAACAGACAACAGTTTTTGACTCAAATGACTGAACAAGGAAAAGTTTTCAACTGAAAAGTTTTATTGAAAACGCCTCCAAACAAGGACAGTAAAAAGACCGGCCCGATGAATCCTAACAAACCTCAAACATCGTCATCCAAAAATGCCGTTTCGCTGTCCAACATAAGTCGAGGGTTTTCTTCGTGCTTCAATTGTAAATAGGTTCAAGCAGACTTAACTACTTCTCTCGCTATGTTCGATTCTTGTACCCACCAATGGGTTTCGGCAAGCTTCGCAAATCGTTTAAACTCAACGGGTCAAAAAATAGATATTCCATCTAACGGCTTCAATTCGACAAAATCAGTCACCACGCATCAGGTTAACTTAACGTGTTGCTATAGTCGATCACTATCAATACAGTTTAAGCGATTGTCGAAGAAAGCTTGAGCGTCGGTTCCAAACAACCATAAATCCCATTCTACAAGATAAAATTCTACACCTGCAGTCAATTAATAGTTTTTCGTATGCACATTGGCTGCGTCCTCTGTGGACCGCTTCCTTTGGCACTTTTTGATCGAGCAACCACCTTCAAATACCATGTTGAAGATGTGGCACTTGCCGACCAAGCGAAGAATTGTTACGAGGTAGAGAAGTACGGGTGGTTTTACAAAGCTTAACCCCGTTCCATAGCTGATAAACGTGGTCAAAAAATTTTTGAAATCTACCACAATTGGTGAAGGAGGAAGCCGTTACTCTGTAGATAAACTCTGGACTGATGACCAGATTGCTCACCCATATTAATTTTACGCTTCGTTGGTTGAACTTTGATATCTTGAAAAACGGCAAGAGAAAGATTTGAAACAAAAAAATCCACATGTTTCAGATAACCGTGGCAATTTAGAGCAGGGATACCTCAGATCCCGCTTAACCCTCACGGCTCGAAAAACTGTTCGGACTGAAAATGATACACCCCACACCAACCGGTTCTACAACCGATTAAACCCGGCTGGGTTTGGCACGTTCTGGAAGTTGCACCCAAGCTTCAAGACAAATCACTAATTAAATCCTTTCTTGGCTGTCCCAATCTGCTAGTTAAATTAGTTTACTTCCAAGGGCACAAAAACGACGCAGTATCCTCTAACATAGATGATTTGTTTATGCAGGTCTGTTTGCAGGAAAATGAGCAAAGTTAATTGCGTTTCTTGAGGCGTGAGGACCCAAAATTAGATGTGAGTGTATTTCAAAATACTAGCGATCTTCTCGGAGCAAAAGATTCGCCGAGTTGTGCTAACTAAGCTCTTCGCCGAATAGGCGTCGATAAACATGAACGTTATCGCGAAGCCGCCAATGCCGTGATGAAAAATTTTTACATAGACGATTACGTCGGCTGCCTCAAATATTCAGAAAAGGCAATACATTTAGGTCGCAGTTTGATTGAGCTACTTGAGTGAGTAGAGGGTTCAATCTAACCAAACTTGCTAGTAATATTCCCAAAAAAATCGTTTAAAAAGTCCAACCAAAACGAATGCTAGCAACACTAAAGAATCCTTGCAACACTGAGCACTCCTGAAATCAATTCGTATGTTCTTGGTCTATGTTTTTGGTCTCAAATAAGACCACGTCAGCAATACGTTAGTTGTGGGCAGAGGAGTTCATCAAAGACTGTTACACAGCGATTGTTTCTTAGTTTCGCGTCGACCGAGCAGGTCTTCTGTCTCCGTATAGCTTATGCGCACGTTTTGTACATCAAGACTTCTGGAGATTGAGGTGAGCAATGCGACGATCCACTACCAAAAGAGTTGTACCGCAAGTTCACTGAATGCCACTCAGAAATTTTCCAATTGTTGAGAAGTCCAATATCACTCCTTTCTACTCTGCTTTTTAATTGGTTGAAGTTGAACTGCACATGTCCGGTGATAGCGCCTTCGAGATTTTCTGTTCCGTTATATTACTTCGATCTAAAAAACTTCACTATCAAATGTCAACTTGCTTTCGTCTTCGGAAGCGAGAGTATCTCCAATGGAGATACTTTCGATTTTCAAATTGGATCTTTCAGCTACGCTTTTGGCTTTTCGATTGAAGGATGACATTGGGAAAGCTATGGAACTGAGCAGTTCGAAAGTTCAAAAGGACTAACCGCACTACGGTTCTATAGTGGCTGAGCTCGGCAATCAAACAGCTTGTTTTCGCTGCTTAATGGGCAGCTGAAAATCTTTTGTCGGCGTCAGTTGACCAATGACTATTGACTTGAGTAGCGACAATAGGTGAGTCACGGAGAAAAATCGCCAAAAACTTCCGGTCTAGGAACTGAATGAGGGTTTAGAGGTCTCTGAATGAGAGTTTAGAGCACTGCAACTTCGACTTATTTTGTTTCCAAGATTAAATGCCAAGTTACATATGCTAAGACTCTCATCAAATTACTCTCTAGAAAAGACACTTGAGAACTACAGATAAGGCCATAAATGATCCAGCAGAAATTTTCATTAAAGAGGAAATACTAAAGCAAATCCAATTCTGTTTACGTTTTTCTTTTCCGGTTTTGAGGACAGAATGGTTACAACAACTTGTAGTTTCAGATTCAAAAAATTTAAAATTTCATCTAGAAACACAGCCGAGAAACAAATACTAGCTTTCTATAAGTTTTTAGTAGGTACCAAACGGTCAATAAGGCGACCCAATGTGGCTAGACGCCCATTGAGCCAAAACAAAAAAAACCAATCCAAAATGCTATCCTGTAACATAAATCCAGCGATTAATGTTTACAATTCTGGTATTGTACACCACAACCATCCTGAATTCTATTTGAAAACTTTAATTGAACGACAGAACTAAAGATGAAAAAGCCATAAAGACCTAAGCTGAAACTAACTAAAATGAAAAAAAAAATTTGCAAGAATCCGAGTTGGTAAACGGACATAATTACAGGACGAGTGATTATCATCAACTGTAGTAAGCAGTGTTTTAAAAAGTCTACGATATGAAAAAAAAACGACAAACTGAGCAGACAAAGCAAAGTTCCACTATTCAGTTTTGATTTCAAACACTTGAAACTGAGCCAACAGACAATTAAAAAAGAATCATTGAACGCAAGTCCACAGAAAAAAAACTGACTTAATTTATGAAAAAACCTCATCTTTCGAAACTCAAAGAGACAAAAAGGAAGGCCTACAAATTCATTGAAATTCTATAACAATTTATCATTGGAAATTTTTTGATAAACTAATTGTTAGAGAACTGGCTCTAAAAATAAGTTTTTATTTACTGATAAAAACTGAAAACCAAATTCCAATTTCCAAATTTTTCGTGACCGTTAACTTTTGCTGCTCAGCATGACAAAGAACAGATGACAAACCACCAAAAACGTAAAATTGAGCCTGCATGAAACACGATAATTAACACGGCAATATAATAGTCTAAAGTGTTACCTCTAGAACAATTGAGAAGCAGCCTGGAAGCAGTTAATGTTCAGCAATAAAGCAAGATCAACTATTTACAGATTTCCTGGAAAAAAATGCTTGAGGCAAAATCTAGTTCCAGATTTTAGAACACTTACTCTCTTTGTGAAACAAGAGGAGCCTTCCGCTATGCAAGCAGCACAGACTGTTCCCATGGGAAGAAAACAACTTCAAGATTAATACAGTATCAGCACAAGTTATCTTCAACATAACCATCTAGCATTTGGAAAAAATTAACGAACACAAAAATGCCGAAAAAATTGAATTGCTTTGAAGAAAGTTGAAGATGTGGCACTTTCCGACCAAGTGAAGAAGTGATGCAAGGTAGAATAATACGGTTCGTTATACATAGCTGATCCCCGTTCCACAGCCGATTAACATGCTCAGAAAATTTTGAATTCTACCACGATTGGTGAAGTAGGAAGCCGTTACTCTGTAGGTATACTCTGGACTGATCAGATTGCTCACCCATAGACTTTACGCTTCGTTAGTTCAATTTTGATATCTTGAAAAACGTCAAGAGAAATATTTGAAACTGAAAAACCCATACGCTTCAGATAACTTTGGCAATTTAAAGAAGGGATACCATACCTTATCCTGGTTAACCCTAACGACTCAAAAAAACTGTTCGGACCGTGAATGGTACAACCCACACCAACCGGTTCTGCAACCGAATAAACACGGCAGGGTTCGGCACGTTTTGAACGTTGCATCCAAGACAAATCACTAATTAACTCCTTGTCGGCCATGATCTGCTACTTGTTTTAGTTTACTTCCGAGGGCACAAATACATAGTATCCACCAACATCGATGATTTGTTTTTCCAGAATTGTCTACTATAATGAGATCAACGTTAATTACGTTTCTTCAGGCGGGAGGACCCCCATCAGATGTGAGTGTATTTCAATCACTTTTTAACTATTCCAAATTGACTAACTAGGCTCTCCGCCGAACAGCCGTCGATAGCCAAGAACGCTATCTCAAATCCACCAATGCCGTAATGAAAAAAAAATTCATTTGGAAGATTACTTTAGCTTCGTTAAAAATCCTGAAAAAGCAATAAATTGCGTCGCGAGCTTCATGATCGAGTATGAGGGTTAAACATAACCAAATTTTTTAAAGTAAAATCCAAGTTTGTCGTTAGAATAAGTCTCACTAAAATCAGCGCTAGCAACTTTTAAGAACTTTTGCCGCTTTGAGCACTCCTGAAATCACTTCGTATGTGCTTGTTCCCAAATGAGACCACGTCAGCGATAGGTTAGTTGTGGGCAGAGGAGTTCATCGCGAATCGTTTCTTAGTTTCGCGTCAACCTAGCAGGTCTGCTGTCTGCGTATAGCTCACGCGCACGTTTGCTACTTCAAGCAATGCGACGGACCACTACCAAACGAAATGTACCGGCAATTCATTGAATGCCACTCAGGTTTTTCCAATTTTGGTCAGCCCACAATCCCTCAGTACTACTTTGCCTTTCAATTGGATGAAGTTGAACTACACATGTTGGTCGATACCTCATTGGAAATTTTCTTTTCCCATGAAGATGCTTTCGATTATCAGACTGGAACTTCAAGCTGCGCTTTCGGCTACTCGACTGAAGAATATCACCGGGAAAGCTCTGAGATGAGAATCAGAAAAATCAAGCTCTGAGCTGAAGGCATCCACGCTGAATTTGCATGTAAAAAATCGCAAAGCACAAATCCACATTATGTATAAATTATGCATTTCAAAAAATTGCGAGATATATTGAAAAAGAACAATTCTTAAATCGAGTTTTCATCATTGTTTTGTTATTTGAAATAAATCACTTTTTTCGGTTCATTTGAACAATGAGAAATGGATCAACTGTGTCAACTTATTACTATTCGAATGTCAAAGCACATAAAGCACATGCTATGAAAAAGCTGTAAAAATCCCCAAAAGTGGCACCAATATTTGCGATTTACGTGGGACAAAAAAGGTTCGTACTAATACACTCGCTTCGCAAGTGTAAACAGATGATATTAACTTAACTTGAAAACAAATCAGAAGACAAACCGCAAAAAAGAAATAAATTTGAGCCTGAAGGAAACACGAAAAAAACATCATGACCTAAATAAGAGACTGAAATACATCCATCAACTCTGAAGCAAACAATCCTGATATGCAGAGACAACAGCGTTACCCCTTGAACAAGCGAGGAGCCTGGAAGTTGTATCGTTCAATAATAATGCAAGTTCAATTATAACCAGATTTCTGGAAAAAAAAATTGTGTACGGGAAAGTATAGTTCCCCATTTTAGGAAATTTGCTCTCTTTGTGTAACAAGAAGCACAGATTGTTCCGACCACAAATGGGGAAAAATGTCGTATAAGCACAAGTTATCTTCAACACAACCACCTGGCATTTGGAAAAAGTTTCATTGAAGTCAAGGATGTGGAACAAATTGACTGGCGTTTTAAAAAAAATCCAATTTCGAGTTTTGAAGAGTTTTTCATATAATCTTTAAGCACTTTGAACTTCAAGAATCATTTATGATCGACAGCTTTTTGAGGAAATTAGCTCAATTTGAGAAGACTGCATAAATAGATAACTTTTTTATACCAGTGGAAAATCAAAAATTAATAAACACTTTTGGAGTAAAGTCAACCAAAAAATTGAGCAGCGTAGTCTGCTATCGTTTTAGCAAAAGAACTTGAATTGGTCTTAGAAAATCAGAAGCCAAATCGTGAAAAACCAAAATTGCCAAAAAAAACAAGATGCAAATAAGTGTTTTAACTCTATGGAACCCTAATTCAGTCTGAAAAGATTTTCATATGATACCCTTATAGCGTTGTTTGAGGTACGTGAAATTAAGAGGGTAACCAAAATTTGGCCGTAGTAGCTTCCCACTTTGAGAGCGGTCGCAGAACAACAAAGCCAGCCGAATAGTAATAACATTCGATTGAGATACTTACGTCCCGTCAACTTCTTTCACCGCCTCAATGGCTTGATCTTTATATTTGTACACGATGAAGCCAAACGAAGGACTGGTTCGAGCAATCCAAGGCCTCTCAATCAAGTCTCCGTAAGATGCGAAAACTTTTTCAATTTTTCGCTCATCTGGATCATCTGGTAATTCCGATATATGCAGCCTAGACAGGTAATTTGTGATTCACTTAGAAGTCATTCAACGCAGCTGTCCTACAAAATAGTCATGAGATTTACCTGTAGCCGCCAGAAGCACTGTCATATTGGATATTATGTTCATCGGGAGATCGCCTTGTCTCTACGTTCTGTTTTCTTGAGACAAAATCTGGAGACCACGAAGGACTTCTGCCCCGCTTCAAGTTGTTAACAGGTGTTCTACTTCTAAGGAAAGCAAAAAAAAATCGAGCGAAATTTTAGAGTTTGTAATATTACCGATGATAACCGAAAATATTTCCAATTACCTGGAAAGACTTCGAGACCTGGAACGGCTGTAGGGCATAGCTAACCTGAAAAAAAGCTACTCACCGCACAAAGATAGTCATTCACCACCATAAATTAACTCCTTAACTAGCTTCTTCTTGCTGATGTGTATCAATTTAAAAAAAAAACTAAATTACAAAAGGGGCCCTTCCGTTTAGTTACGGTAAGTGCACAAGTTGGATAGGGCCATACCAGCGATATAAAATGCATATATATCAGCAATGAATGTCATAAATCAGCATTAAATGCATCGTCGTAATGTTAATTTATCTTAGCCGTCCTTCCTCTACAATAGCGCTTATGGAGTTGTCGATAAATTGAACTTTGCGTAGCGATCTGCACCCCCCTAAACAATCACCCCCTTGATGTGTATCAATTGTGAAGAAATTATCATTCTTAAGATTTTAAAAATAAAAGGAAACAAGCGTCTTACTCACCTCCGGTGCTTCAAAATTTTTCAATAACTCGTGAAAAACCGCATATATTGGAAACAAGATCTCAAGGACCATATTCTGTCTGTACTCTGACTGCACTCAATTACAGGGTTGGTAGAGTGCCAGTCGGTCATATCTGGAAGTTTGACCTTGAGGGACATGAAAATACGTGATTTTGGAGTGAAGTTTGAATTTTCAAAAATTCGAATGGAGCCTGTCATGCTCAGTTTTCTCGCGACAACTGAAAACATAAAATGAAAAATCGGAACGACCGAATTAACAATTGCGGGAAAGTGGTCAAATATATACAGTGGGAAATCGCTATTCGCATTTTCCATCATAGAAAACGAGAGTAGAGCTGTCCTATCTGGTATAGGAGACCAAACGAACAAGAGAGAACTAAAATTAACTGGACCAGTGTGAACCTTCAACGGAAAGGTGGACAAGTGAAGTATCCCAATGGTCCAGAGTCAAAACTATATTCTTGAGTTAAAACTTACTTCCCTTGATTGGGACTCATCATTAGAAAACTTCTTGAGTTACATTTGATTATATTTATGCCGGGTACAGGACTTTATCCTCCACGGTAATTATCCTCCAGGCGATATCCTCCATGGCGGATAAAGTCCTCCGAGGGACTTTATCCGCCAAATGTTGGAGGATAAAGACGCTGAATCTAAAAATCATAGTTTCAGACCACTGAGGGTAACTTTTTAACTAATATTTTTTTGAAAATAGGTTGTAAAGGCTTTTGTGAGGTGAGTGATCAGAATCTGGTACTAAAATGTCTAAAATGATGAGATTAAGGGATAGATTATATTATCAAATTGGAATGTATTAGAAGAAAGTATCGTTAAAACAGAAGAATGAGGGCAATAATCAACAGCAAAATTACAAATTACTCGGACATCCAACAAGCCGTGAGCACCTACCATGCATGGTTCCGGCACTGATGTTGCCTTCAATGAAAGCATTCCAAACCTCGAAAAGAAGCTTTTGCTTCTCCACATAGCCTTTTCGGCTCTCCTGTACAGACAGGATCCGCAAATTAATTTCAACCAACTGTGCCTCATTGAAAAGTACCTGCACGAGAAAATAAAAGTTTACATTCGGGTTCATGGCGCGCTTGTTGATGCGGTGGTGCCATGATTCAAGATCATTGTTTGTGCGAGTACCTTTCATGAACTGGCACCAGGTCTCAGGTGGAAACATTTTCGAGTCAATCCACTGCCTTCGGACGTACTACATATCCAGTTACTTCTGCTACCAAATTGCCCCCTTTCTTAGCATGACTAGGAAGGTCGATAAAAACGTCATTCTCTTCGTCGGGTTGAATGGTACTTGGAGTTTCGGGTACTTCAACGTCACTATCAACAATTATTGGCGTGGAACTTCTAGGTTCACCCTCAAATTCCTCAAAGTAAACTGTTTCATTGCAGGAAAGCTCGTCTTCAGATGTTCCGAAGTCAACTTGTTCCATATAATTGGGCTGCCCGTACGCGGAATGATCAGGAAGTTCCATTTATTGTCTGAAATGATCAAATATTGGATATAATCTAATAATTTGACTGAATTTACTAATTGGAGGAAAACATCCAAATTCATAAAATTGGGGGATAAAAATGGAGGAAAAAGTCCCTGTTTGAGAAATGGAGGATAATGGTGGAGGATATCGCCTGGAGGATAATGACCGTGGAGGATAAAGTCCGTTTCCCTTTATGCCGGAGTCGTTAATTAGTTCAATTACTCTGTGTCTCAAGCGTGCTGCTAAGTGAGTGCTAAATTTAGTTTTCTCGAGTGTGTTTTATGATTGTTATGTTGAGATAAGGCGAGTTTTAGGTTGATCCATCTGAAATGGATCAAAGTTCCACTGTCCAACAAAAAGTAACCTAACGGATTGTTCCGACCCTGTTTTTAACGGCGTTCGTGTATTTTGGGTATTTCGAGACCTAAGTATGGGAACGTTCTTATTTTCTAGAGTGGGAGGATATTTTGGTAGTAGCCTTTAAGCTGTAACGGGTTCTGTTCTCATGTCGCAAGCGAACCGAATTGGCTCCGACCGTTTTTGAGGTAGAAAAACACAAGAGGTAGTGTCCCTGACTCTTGAGCCAATGGTTATAGGGCCTATTTTTCTTAAGCCTCATATGTGACCGAAGTAGGCGACTGTTACATAGTGTTTTTATGGCGCTCCTTGGTGTTTTTACGACATCATGACTACGGAGTCGATGTGACATTCGACCAGAATGTCAAAAATGCAATCTCTGCAGAATTCGAATTTTTAGCAGCGAGCCCTCCGGATTGATGATTATTAAGAATTAAGAACGTTATTGGAATGATTGGCCAAACGGTGAGGGCTAGAATATTCTGGTATTTTAAAATTTTAAAGATTCGAAGTGATGACGTAACATTTCTGAGAAACGTCAGAAACGGCCATTTTGGCAAAGAAGTAAAAGAAAAACACAACAACATTAGTTGCGCGGACGATAAGTACGAAAATTGTGAGAAAAAACAATAGCAGATTGCAGGAATAGCAGTGAACACTCCGAGTTGCAACTATTGTGTCGCTACAATAGTTGCAAGGCCGTTGCGAACAACGGTGAAGGGTGGAGGACAGCCTTCCGGATTAAGAAGAAATCAAGATTAACGAGCTTGATTCAGTGGATTCAAGAATCCGGAAAGGTTTCGGAACTGAAACTTTTATCCTTTTGTATAAACTTTTAGCTTCTTGTCATGTCCTGATTTGAATTTAATTAACAACTGGATTCATTTTGATAAGGATGAGAAGCTAGGAGTTGGGGGAAAGGGTTGATCCATCTTCGATGGAGATGATGATTTTTATCTACTGAACAAAAACAATAGTAATATAATCAATAGTAGTAGCCCTGTTTTTAGGAGTGACCTCGTGGTCTGGGGATACTGAGACCCAGCCATGAGCTCACTATTTCTGCATGTAATCTAGTTAATTTGAGTGTTTTGACCGAAGCCGGAAGCAGTAACGTTTTTGTCGACCCGATGTTAGAAAAGACCACCGAAAGTACTGGCTTGGTAGAGACGGTGAAAAGCATGCAAAGCTCTGCTTAGACGTTAGCCAGTCGTCTTATGACTTAGTTTTGTTTTCTGTCGATATGTATCTTCCGGGCGAATGTTACATAGATGTTTTTATGGCGCTCCTGGGTGTTATTCTTTTTAACATCATGACCGGCAGAACCGTTAACGAGCACTCCGCGCCGAGCGGATGCTCACATTAACGCCCTTAATAGGCCTAAACCGCCGGGGCGGAGGGGTAGTTTGGAACGCGGAAGCCTTCCGGATTACCGTGAATAGCTTTTTAACTTAGTTAAGACCGAAAATTCACGAACCAGGAAGGGTGGGGGGATTCGCGGTCCCGTCATCTCCTGAATGGTTTGTGACCAAAAACACTTAAAGATATAAATAAAACCAAACAAAAAGTAGTATAGTACCCAAGAAAAACAAAAAACATTAAAAAATTACGAAAAAACCAAAAACAGCAAAAAAGTAAAAAAAATCAGTAGAAATCATCCCCCCAGACAAGATGTGATCCGACCCCCCCTTTTGTTGTTGATAGATATATTGTTGTTACAGGCATTTATATCAGTCAAGATTGTTACGATCAGTTTTGGAGCCCATTTGTGAGGCTTGTACTGTAGGGTTATTTGAGCATTTAAGCACGTTAATGATAAATTGCGCTCAATCCGGAAGGGTCAGCTGATTTGCGCTCAATTCGGAAGGGTCTTGGGAGAAGACTGATCCGGCAAGCAGTACAAGGAGCAACAAGAAGGGGCTCAACGACAACAACAATCGACTGTTGGGTATCGTTAGCAAGTTTTGTGTCCCTTTTGGTACAAAAATTAAGATAGTAATCTGTGGGGGGCTCGACAGTGCTGCACTGTAGTGACCCTTCACCGAACTGCGAATATCCGAGTTAAGCACCTTAATTCGGATATTAAACAAACCCGGAGGGGTATAGTATCACCACTATTATTAATTATATAGCCTATATTAATAGTCTTATATCGTTTTTCAGTCAAAAACAACGAAAACAGACCGGTTTTTAGGGTCAAAATAGCGATATTTTGATCCCCCCACAAGTCGCCTATTTTTGAGATATCGATATTCTTTGAAACGGAAAAAAGCGCTAAGTTAGTGTGTTACATCGTAACTGCACTACCACAATAGATAGAACCGGTTAAGTTTAGTCCGGAGGTGGTCGGAACTATTTTGGTACCGAAAACTGAAATTTCGTGATTTTTGAGAAAACGGAACACTATAAATTTAGAAATTTTTTTGAAATTTTTGAGTTACGACAGTAAAAATAGTTGTTCGGACAACGTCCACTAGTGAATCTACAAGTTTTAAAACCCGCTACCCGAAAGCCTTCCGGGTTGCGGAGAAATCGAACTTAACGTGTTTGATTTGGTGGATTCATCAATCCGGAGGGGTACAGGTAGCATAGTTTTTAGCAAATTTCTTCTACAAAAGCGTTTTAGATCGGGTTTTTTTGCATTGAACTAGAAGAGTATAGGCATTCTGAGCTCGGGCAATAATTGTTAGGACGAAAGTACCAGATTTGCGG